CCAAGCACCTGTAGAGAGTGCCCTCTTTTGCAAAGGGCAGATCCTTTGGATAAACAGACCTGCATGATGGCAGAGCATGTATGCCCACTTCCTATTTCTAACTATCAATCAATCTAATTCTTTTACTGTGAATTTGAATAAAGAACCAAGGATTACCCAATATTCAGAAATGCCTAACTGCACCAAGATGTACAAATGCTATAAATGATATCATAGGAAAAATAAACCAAAACAAACCTCTGATACACATGCTCAGAGAAATTCAAACACACCTTGCATCCATAAAAAAAAAAAAGACTGCTTTTAAAAAGGAGTAGAAAACAAACATTTTTTAAAATTAAATATATAATTGATAACATAAAAATTAGAAAGGGCAGAGTTAGGGTTGTGGCTCAGTGGTAGAGCACTTCCTAGCACACATGAGGCACTGGGTTCAATCCTCAGCAACACGTAAAAATAAAAAAATAAGGTATATTTTTTTAAAAAAAGGTTTAGTTTAAAAAAATTAGAAAGGGTAAAAGGAAAGGTCAAGGAACTCTAGCTAAAAAGCTGAAAAAGATAAAGTTAAGGGATAAAGATAATAATCCATTATCAAATAATAGTTCCAGAAAGAAAGAATAGGGAGAAAGAAAAGAAGAACAGTGAGATAAAATATTATAAAAATAAATCACAAAAGAAAACTCTCAAAGCTGAAAGCCACCAAGCCATCAATTGTCCAACTGGACTGAACGATCTCATTAAGAGTCCAAAATAAAATTTAAAAGACCTACATCCACATATATCCTCAATACATTTAGAAAAGCAACTATAAACACTTCCAGAGAGAAAATACAAACAAATGAGAATAGATTTGGTATTAAACTCTTCATCAATGGCATCTGATGTGTCATGAGACAAAAGCCCCAAAGACTTTAAAATTCTGAGGGACGTGAACTATTACTCAGCCTTAAAAAGGCAGGCCCTCTGGCACATGTTGCACCATGCATCATCATGCCAACTGAAGTAAACCAGCACAAAAGGACAAACGCTGCCCAAGTCCCATTATATTAGATTCCTAGAGTCCTCAAAGTCGTAGGCACAGCAGAATGATGGCTGCCAGAAGCTGGGGACACAGGGAAAGGGGAGTTAGTGTTTAATGAGTACTGAGTTTCAGTTTAGGTAGATGAAAAAGATCTGGAAATAAATGGGAGTCATGATTACCTCCATGTGAATAGACTTAATGTTAACTGAAATGATTTCAAGTGACAAATGGTTAAAATGATAAATTTATGCTACATAAATTTTACCACATTAAAAAAAAAAATAGGTATAGGGGTGCCAGGCAAGATGGTTTACACCTATAATCCCAGCAACTCAAGAGGCTGAGGCAGAAGATCACAAGTTTGAGGCCAGTCTCAGCAACTTATTCAGGCCCTAAGCAACTTAGCAAGACCCTGTCTCAAAATAAAAATGAAAAGGACTGGGGATGTGACTCCATGGTAAAGCAACCTTAGGTTTAATCCTCATATCAAAAAAAAAAAAAAAAACAAATGGCCAGGCAGTGTACTATAGCTCAGTGGTAGGGCATATGCTTAGCATGAGCAAGGCCCTAGGTTCAATCCCCAGCACCAAGAAATAAATAAAAGGGYTGGGGATGTGGCTCAAGCGGTAGCGCGCTCGCCTGGCATGCGTGCGGCCCGGGTTCAATCCTCAGCACCACATACAAAGATGTTGTGTCCGCCGAAAACTAAAAAAAATAAATAAATATTAAAAAAATTCTCTCTCTCTCTCTCTCCACTCTCTTTTAAAAAAAAAAAGAAAGAAATAAAAATTAAAAAAAAAAAAACTAATGAAATTGATAACTTTGTCCAAATAGGTATTTTGCCTGTTAGGTTGGGAAATAGGAGTAATATGCCCTTTGGCTGACTTTAAATTTGTGGACAACTTAGAAGATCCATTAAGAGCTAGAAGAAATAAAAAAATTAAAATAAATAAAGAAATAAATAAGAAAGAAAGAAAATAAATAAGAAAGAAATTTTTGAGGGAAATTGATTTTGGATCTAGAACTCAGCACTCAAACATAAGAACAGAATAAGGTCATTTTCAACAAAGCATGGAAACAAAGGTTTATTTCTCATATTTCTATCTAGTAAATCTTCAGTACATTTGACTAGAATTAAATGCATTTAATTTCATCAAGAAATTTTTAAATTACTTTATTTTACATGATTTTGGAGTTTAAGATGGGCAATTTTAATGTTATCCACTTACCCAGATAAGAAAATAACTAACTTACTTTTACTTTTCTATTTTAAAACACTTAATTTTAAGTAACTCCCAACAACCTTTGGAGGGGCTCTTGAGACACAAATAAGACATGTTGAGAGCTTCCCACCAGCAAGGGACTCTAACATCCCTCCCAGCCATTCCTCTTCCTCTGCCCCTGCACAGATGACCCAAGATGCTCTCTGTCATGCCTCCGTGTCCTCTTCCCACTCCCTCTCAACTGCTCCATTCAACCTCCTAGCCCTACTTCTCCAAACAGTCTTGACAAGGCCACTGTCCTCATCTCTCTGGACTTCCTAGGAACACATTGAACCTAGAGGACAACTTTGTCCTGGAAATGCATTTTCCTCCTTGGCCTGTGATACCACCCACCTTCGTGTGTGTGTGTGTGTGTGTGTGTGTGTGTGTGTGTGTGTATGTGTTGTTTTCCCTGCCTTCCTGGCCTCTCCTGCTGAGTCTCCTCTACTGGCTTCTCCTATCCTTGGAACTTGGTCCCCAGACTCTCTTTTGCTTATCCATTCTCTCTCCTGAGATAATCCCTTCCAGTTTCATAACTCACAATACCATCTATCAATGACTCCCAAATATTTGTCTCTCCCTTGAGCTTCAGAGCCCACTTAACATCTCTCTGGTATCACAGGCATCTCAAACCTCATACTGCCCAAAGAGAACTCCTAATTCCTTCCCACTCCAAGGCCACACCTCCCAAAGGTATTCCTCTTAAGAAAAGGCCAACACCATCTATCCAGTTATTCAAGACTAGAGCCTAAAACTCAGTAAATTCATGGTGGTTAAACATATACTCTTTGGGCTAGGGCTGGGACTCAGCAGCAGTACACTGGCCTGGCATGTGTGAAGCACTGGGTTTGATTCTCAGCACTACATATAAATAAATAAAATACAAGTCTATCAGCAACTAAAAAAAAAAAAAAAAAAGTATACTCTCCGGAGTCACCTCAGTTAAAATACAACTCTATTATTTATAGTTTGTAATCAAATGACCTTGGGCAAATTAGGGCTCTTGTGAGAATTATATAAATAAATACTTAGAACACCAAATTCTAAGTATATTACCCCCCAGTGAGTGTACCATTGTTGTTCTTAACTCCTCTCTAATTTCCATCAGTAGGTGCTACTTTGAGTTCTACTATCATAACATCCAGCTTCTGTCTACTCCTCCATTTCTATCACTATCACATTCAGGTGGCCCTCACTCTACTACAGTTGCCTCACTTTCCCCTCCTTCTTCTATTCTTGCCCTCACCATCCATTCTCTACAAAGCAGCCAGTGATTCTTCAAACCTCCAGTTTCTTCTCATTACACTGAAGTTTAAAATCCCAATTTCTTGCTTTGTCTTAAATGCCTTCAATTAGTCATTCACAATCCTACTCACACATTAGAATTTCTGTGGGGCTCTGAAAATTACTCATGCTTGGGCTCCATCTAGGTATGACACCAGTCAAAATTTAAAAGGCCACCAGCTGCTAGGGTTGTGGCTCAGCAGTAGCATGTGTGAGGCAGTGGGTTTGATTCTCAGCACCAATGTAAATAAATAAAGGTCCACTAACAACTAAGAAATATTTTAAATAAATAAATAAAAGGTCACCAGCTAATTCTTAGGTACAGCTAGGGCAGAACAACTTTGCTCTAAATGATTTGACTCTACCCACATCTCAAAGTCATGCTCCTATTCAAGCATGCATACCAGCTCACTGGTCTTTTTTCCTTTTCCTGTGTTTTAGATCTGTGTGTGTTTTCAGGAGTTTGCACCAACTATTCTTTCTGCCTGGAAAGCTCTTCTCACACTTCTCACAGTTGGGCCTTTCAGCCTCAGCTTAAACATTGCTCCCTAATAAGAACTTCTGACATCCATTTGAAAATAGATCACCAGATAGCACTTTGCTTTACTTTTGATCAAAGCAAATATATGTGCTTTGATACAAATGTATTTACAAATACAAACACATTTGTAGTACCTTCCTTTCCCCAGGAAAATATAAGTTCCAGGAGAGCTTAAGTGAACCATTCTCTGCTATGTCCTTCATAGGATGTAAATCAAGCAAACTGCAAGAATTCAATAAATATTTATTAAACAAACGAATGAATAGATAGGCATGTTTGGAAACTAGTTGCCTCAATGTCATCTTCCACTGCTTTAGAATAATATTTATTTCCTTATGTTTTATGGGCTGTTTCCTCCAGAAGGGCCATGGGGCCCTAGCATCTCAACATGCTTCTTCTGTGAAGATGCTAAAGGACAGGAGTTATATCAATCCTAGACCTGTGGATAATCCTCAGCCCTTACATTAACCATAGGACTGTACATCGCTTACCATGTCCCCTCTGGTTTTTTGCCAGAAATGAGAACAAATTCAAATTGATTGGTTTACATGATACTGGATTTAGTTTCCTCATCAAGATTCTCATCAAGGACAGGAGAGAAGTGATACATAAGGACAGGAGAAAGCAAGAAAGAAAAAAATCTACCTACCAGACAGCCAACTTTGACTAGGAAAGTTTTCCCATCTGAAGCTTGACACTGTAAAAGGGCACTAAATTGAATACAGAATACTTCTCAAATAAACACAAAACAGCTTCATGGTTCCTCCAACCTAAAACATTTTCAGAAATTGTAAAAGGAAATAAGAATATCTAAGTAACTGACCAAGACCATCGGTTCACTGCCATGTGAGGTCTAGTAGTACTATCTTACCCCTAGAAGAGGAGGTATTACCTTTGGGACATCGCCTTTAATACCTGGGGGCAGCCGCAGGAGCCAGAAGTTCCTGTTTCTTAATAAGTTCTCCAAGTTTTCCAGGCGCCGCTGCAGCAGCCCATACTCCTGCAGCAGAGTCCCCAGCACAGCCCACTTGCCCTCCAGCTGGCTCCCAAGATCGGTCACTGTCTTTTCACAGCTGGCTAGCTTCTTCTCTGCTGTCCCTGTCCTGCCTTCTAGGTGTAGGAGACGCCGGCTGTGGACCTCCACCTTCCTCTCTATGGCCTGCACGGCGGCCACCACTGTCCACAGGGAGATGGCTGCAGTCTGTAGGTGTGCCTCATTTGCTGCTGGGGGTGTAGGAAGAGGAAGGGGCTGCAAGGATGTAAGGCACTCGGAATCCCATTCAGAAGTCTGTGTACAGTGGAGAGATGSGACAAGACATTGAGTGTTAGAAGGAACTCTTGATTACAAAGTACAATCTGATAAGAATTGCTTAATTGTCCATCTGAGATTAATCTAAATACAGTTTTAGTGTGCTGGTATCAGTCTCATTGTTCTGGAGCTCATTGACATCAAAAACCGGGAGGCCATTTTGGTGGTTCAGGAATGGAATTAGAAAGACTGTGAATCAACCTGGCTTTTAAGACCAAGTCTGGCACATTTCTTCTAATATATGACCTGGAGGCTCAGGTGGCTGCTGCTTTAACTATCTCTGGAAAAGGCAAAACTGCACAAGGATTCTTCCAGGTTTCACTGAGCATAATGCCCTGGAACAAATCCCTTATAAACTTATGCTCTTGCCCTGTCCACCACCCTGTTTACACATCACAACCATACCATTCAGGAAGAAGTAAAAAAAGTGGGGATGTTGAGCCTAGAGAAAATATGATGGCTGTTTTCAAATATTTGAGGATTATAAAACAGAAGGCAGAATGGACTTGTTTAATCTTATACTGTGTTACTCAAAAGGGCAGATTAGAGCCAACATGTGGAAATTTTCAGGCAAACTCTGACCTTTAATAAATAATATTTTAACTAGATCTTTTCACAAAAATAACAGGCTGCCCTATCACTGAATATATTTTGAAAAAAGAGTGGTATAAAAGGAAGAAATTCCTACAACAAATAGGAGGTTGGACTAGGATAACCTCTGCAAAGCTTTCTAATTCCATGAATCTGAACCCTCTTTCTGGTTCACATACTACTGTATTCTCATTTCTCCTGTCCTGTGAACTACTAACAGGCTAGTCTAGTTCAGGGGGGCAACACTGCCTGGTGCTCTCCAGGCATCTTTTCACATTCCACAAAGCCACCACAAACTTTTAAGCTAATGGCTAAAATAATTTGTAGTTAAAACGCATGTTGATTCAGTAGGTCTGGGAGGAAAATGGAGATTCTGCATTTTAAAAAAGCTCCCAGACATGCTGCCTGATTTCAGGGCACACAGCAGTGGATGGAAAGACTTGCTGGCACTGCAGACTGAGGGCACTGCAGTTCCCTCAGTCTCAGGAGATGACATGGCTTCCTACTTTGAGAAACCAATTTGAATAATTGGACCTAAACTCTCTCAACTTTATCTTTTTCTTCATATCACTTCCCACTGACTCATCAGTAATTCCCTCCCAAGGAGAAAAGTTTCATCCTATTTAAAACCAGTCTCTCCACTTACACTCTCAATGTCAGCCAATCCCTTTCACCTTTTTAGGTACATTTGTTTCTTTTATCATCAACATGCCAATCTCTACAGATTCTTCTCCATTAGATAGATCCTGTTCAATACCAGTCACTGGCTACTTGTGGCCACTGAGCACTTGCAGTGTGCTCAGTTCCACTGATTTGTGCTGTGAGTATAAAATACTCATGAGATTTTGAAGACTTGATAGAGAAAAAGCTGTTAAAAATCTCATGAGTGATTTTTGTAATACTGATTACTGTTGAAATAATATTTTTCATACATTGGATTATTATTTTTTTTTTTTTTGATAAAAGGAAAAACAGGCCCAAGAGTAAAGATGGCATTCCCCTCTGCTCTATTCTCCACCCCATTGCTGCTGCTCCCTCTTTTTAGCTCTTCCTTTTTTCACTTTCAAGCCACTTCTCCGTGGACCAGTCTGGCTCCAGTACACTGCTGTCTTTGAGGGGGCCAAAGGCTTCTTTAGGTGGCAAATCCAAGGAATACTTTCCAATCCTTCTGCTACTGACCATTCCCTCCTCTTTCTAAATGGCTGTGTGCGGGAGCTGTCCCGGCTGCCTCTGTGCCCTGGCAGTTGGTAGAGTGCCGGGCCCACTGCAGGCCCGCAGTGAAGCGGCGCTCGCGCGGCTAATGCCACGCTCCGACAGCCGCAGCCCTTCACCGCGAAGCCTCCCGCAGGCTGCGGCCTCAGCGCGTGCTGGGGCCGTCGTCACGAAGTCTGCAGAGAGCACACCTGGCTCCACCCTCCCCGCCGCGCAGGTGGCTGCACTGGGGGGACTTGGTGACGACAGCTCCTGCAGTTGGGAGAATGGCAGGCGGACCACAAAAAACACCCAAACCCAAGCGCACTCCCCGTTTCTGCAGGCTGACACCCAACGGGGCAGCCTCTCTCGGCTCCAGATCTCCCACCGGGGGATGCCTGGGCCTCCGCCCCGAGGACGCGGGACCTGCGGACCCCAGGGAGAGCTGCGGACCCCAGGGAGAGCCTCGGACCCGCGCTCGAGCCCGGCTTCCCGGCGGCGGCCCCCGAGCGGGTTGCGGCCGCAGAGCCGGGCGCGGGCGACGTGGCGGCGGGCCGAGGAGGAGCCTGCGCGGCCTCTGCCCTCCCGCCTCCCCTCCAGCCTGGGCCCTCCACGCTCGCAGCCCTCGCGCGCCGGCCTTACCGGAGCCGCGGCCGCCTCGGCCATGGCCCTGCGCTGCCCGGCCCGGAGTCGACGCCGCTGCCGTCCCACGAAGTCCCCGCCGCCCGGTCCTCTCCGAAGGAAGCGCCGGCCCCGCCCTGCCTTTCCCCACACACAGGCTCGCGCGGACGCGGAGCTGGTCGCGAGGCAGCTTCCCGCAGCGGTCCGCAGCGGCGCTTTGTGGGCAGCGAGTGCGCTGGGAGCCTCGCCGGCCTAGACGCGCCGCAGGCTCGAACCGCCCGACCGCCGCAGCCAGCGCGCCCCCTGGCGGCCCCCGCGGCCAGCACCCCCCTCCCGCGGGTCCGCCTCTGCGCGGGTTGATTGGCAGTGCCCAGCCCGTGTGCGGGCGATCTCCGCATGTTCCCTGCTAGAAAATCCAACAGTTGGTAGCTTAGGGCTCAGCTGCAAACCAGGGATCGTCCTGGGGAGTGTTTTTCATGATGAAGTTCCAGCTGAGAAACAGAGCTTCTGCTGGATGACCTTCCGATTTAGCAAGGTTTGAAAACCGGAAGAGTGTGAGAGTCAGGTGGGGATAAAGCTGGAGTGAGTTTGTGGGTAGAACAATGACGAAGACGTGTCATTTGCAGAAATTACAGATGTGGCTGCCAACGTGAAGCGGTTCACATCTTACATGACCCGAGTTGGCACCAAATTTATCCTATCTGGATTATTGACTCTCTGGGGCTTGGTCTGGAAGGGAAATTCTTGAGGTTCGCAGAAATAAAGCTTGTGGTTATGGTTTGTTGGGTCTGTGCAAAGGAACTGGTGAAAAGAAAGTTGTTAACCATGGAGGTTGTGTGTTTAGCAGTGTGTTATAGTTACATAGCCACATAAACCTGAGTTTCCAGCACATTTCTTCTTTCAAACTGGCATGACTCAAAATCCTCTCAAACCTGTATTGCAACAAAAGAAATCAAGTCAATGCCAGTAGCAGTAAATGTATCTGTAATTCATGGAAGTTATGAAAACCTCCTGTTAGGACACCTGGTCTTGTATTAAATTTAGACTATAGCTACTTATGCAGTATGCAATTTGAGGTCTACCTAAGTATACATCTTGGTCAAATGGAGAATATTTGAAAGGTAATATTACCATTCTCTGAATCTGAATATCACCCTAGAATGAACTTCTAAGATTCAAGAAAAAAATCTGAAATTTCTTTCCAAGAAAATTGTTTTATATTTTTATTATTAAAAATGTAATAGTTATAATTTAAAGGTCCAACCTTTAAGAGCAAGAGCAGGGGGCTGGGGATGTGGCTCAAGCGGTAGCGCGCTCGCCTGGCATGCGTGCGGCCCGGGTTCGATCCTCAGCACCACATACCAACAAAGATGTTGTGTCCGCCGAGAACTAAAAAATAAATATTAAAAATTCTCTCTCTCTCTCTCTCTCTCTCTCTCTCTCTCCTCTCTCCTCTCTCACTCTCTCTTTAAAAAAAAAAAAAAAAAGAGCAAGAGCAGTAATTTCAAAGCCCTGTTAACTGTTAGATGCTCCTATGATTATTAAGCAGGAATATTTGCATCACTAACAAGACACTTTCAGCTGAACTTGATGGGGAAGCAAAACTAGCTCTGCCTATTTGATATGATAGTATTACCACAAACTTATTAAATATTTCTTCCTCTAAAAGGAATTTATGGCAAAGACTTTCTTCCTACTTTACTCTTTTTTTAATATTTATTTTTTAATTGTAGTTGGACACAATATCTTTATTTTATTTATTTTTAGGTGGTGTTGAGGATGGAACCCAGGGCCTGAAAGGCAAGCACTCTACCCCTGAGCCACAGCCTTAGTCCCCTAGTTTACTCTTGGTCTTCATTTCTGCATTTCATTAAGCAGTTTCTGAACTAAAGTTTCGTATATTGTTTGAAGAAAATACATGACATTTTTGGATTTAAGATTGTTGTACTCTTATTTTTAATTTCTTTTTTTTTTTTTTTGGTTGTTAAAAATATGGAACGCTTCAGGAATTTGCGTGTCATCCTTGCGCAGGGGCATGCTAATCTTCTCTGTATCGKTCCAATTTTAGTATATGTGCTGCCAAAGTGAGCACTTATTTTTAATTTCTAATATTTTTGCTGCTATGCCCAGTTACTAGAGAAAAATTTGTCCTTAAAATTGGGATCTAGAAATGTGACAATGGAACAATTTAACTGGTCAAGTTAATGAAATAAATCAGTTTCTACCTGCCACTTGGTTTTCATTGCTTGCACACCAACTACAGCATTGTCCCTGAAGCAGAGTCAATGGAGATCTTTTCAACAGGAATTGTGGAAAATATATTTGAACTTTTAAAGTATCAATTTATTCAACAAATTCATACAAACTTCTTTCTCTGTAGCAATCATTGGTTATTAGTAAATCTTAGTACAATGGTAATCTTTGCTGGAAAATACAAAGTAAAAACTTTCATCTTATCAGCCTTTGAAACCTGTAGTAACTGCTATTCCATCTTATGAAATATCTTGCAAATGTATGTAACAAGACAACTTCAAAATCTTTTGTGTATCACAGAATTTCTTATAAGATAAAGAAAAACTATGGAAATGTTTCTACTTATAGGCAGTAATTTTCTATTAAAACCAATGTAAGCTAAAAACATTTTCTGAATATAAAACTGAAGATATGAGCAAACTATAGTGTATGTGTGCTCATACCCTTTCTCATGTTTACTGAGTGGACAATGAGAATTGTGTGCATTTCTCCTTATTGAAGAGAAAATATTCCACACATATTTTTTGAGGTCAGATTTATTACATGTTTGATAGCCAGGACAGTTGAATTTGTCATTAATATTCAATGTAGTCAAATCTTTGATTCTTCATATTCAACTGTGCTATATGCTAGATGCTGTGGTAGCAATTTTTTTTTTAAATCCTTTCCCAACACTATTTTCTAATTCTCTTAGAAACAGTGTTTCACTCTTTTCTTTTTTAATACCTTTATTTTATTTACTTATATGTGGTGCTGTGGATTGAACCCAGGGCCTCACACGTGCTAGGCGAACACTCTACCACTGTGCTACAACCCCAGCTCCTGTGGTACAAATTTCATAATTAAAATTTTCGCAGGCTGGGGATATGGCTCAAGCGGTAGCATGCTCGCCTGGCATGCGTGCGCCCAGGTTCCAGCCTCAGCACCACATACAAACAAAGATGTGTCCGCCCAGAACTAAAATAAATAAATAAACATTAAAATTCTCTCTCTCTAAAAAAAAAAAATTTCATGCATAAAGGATATAAATAAAAAATTTTTAGAAATATTTTCAAAAAGAAATCAATATGTAAAATTAAAAACTTGGGGGAAATCTCAATAAATTTGTTCTCTTTGCTAGAAAATGGTTATCAATATATAGTAACTATTTCCACAAGCTTTAAAATACATGAATGTTTACAGAAACCAAAAGGTGAGTAACTCATATTAAAAACACCCTGTAAATCCATTGTTTAGAGAATAAAATAGGTTTGGGGTGCCTTATTTTTATCAACACTTTCTACTGTTCTTCAACTCTCCATATTTTTAATCATGTCTTATCTCAAACATGACTTATCATGTATATATTTCATGTGTTTTTTCTACTTGTGAAATTTGTGGTAGCCAAGTTAATATTCTGCTTTTATTTTCCTAACTTGTGAAAAATTACCAAATACTTATTGTTAAAAATTCATAGACTAAATGGAATTGAATAATTAAACATTAGTTTCTAAAGATTATTGTTTCCTGGGGCTGGGGTTGTGGTTCATGGTATAGCACTTGCCTGGCACATGTGAGGCACTGGGTTCAATCCTTAGCACCACATAAAAATAAATAAATAAAATAAAGATATTATGTCCATTTACAACTAAAATTATTTTTAAAAGATTGTTTCCTGTTATTAATAAATTGCACCAAATAATTTATAGTAATTACAATTATGATGTCCGATCTTTATTATATAACATTGTGGTAGAATTTTTTTTTTTTTTTTTTTTTTTTGGTGGTGGTGGTACTGGGAATTGAATCCCAGAGGTGCTTTACCACTGAGCTACATCCTCAGCCCTTTTTAGTTTTTGTTTTCAGTCAGGATTTCATTAAGTTGCCCAGGTTGGCCTCAAATACACAACCCTCCTGCCTCAGCCTCCCAAGTCACTAGTACTATATGAGTGCACCACCACACCTACCCTGTGGTGGCATTTATATTTTTATAAATATCTGTAGGCTCAGAGGGGTTGGGGATGTGGCTCAAGTGGTAGTGTGTTCACCTAGCATGCGTGAGGCACTGGGTTCAGGTCTCAGCACCACATAAAAATAAAATAAAGATGTTGTGTCCACCTAAAACTAAAAAATAAATATTTTTTAAAAATATTGTAGGCTCAAAAAAGATGTTCTTTCTAAAATTATTCAAATATCACATTCTTAATATTCATATTGTCAATGTATTTTAATTGCAAGTTCTTGCTTATTACATAACATACCTTTCATAATCTTTAATACTTATTATAGCAATACTTGTATTGTGTGTAAATATGTATATATACACATTCATATGTATTTCAACTGTTAGAATTTCAATATATAAAGCACATCATCAGATTTTGCACTTCAAATTACATATGGAATTTAGAATACCTAAATTTAATAGTAGATATTCAGTGGTACAGGCCTGTAATCCCAGCAACTCAGGAGGCTGAAGCAGGAGAAATAGAAGTTCAAAGCCAGCCTCAGCAACTTATCAAGAAATTCAAATAAATAAATAAATAAAGGGTAGGGTTGTGGCTCAGTGGTTGAGTGCCCCTGGATACCACAAATAAGTAAATACACTCAGCTATTAACAACAAATCTTCATATTCTCTCCATCTGAACGAACATGTGAATAGCATGCATGTTCATGTCACTTAAGATTGTTGCACTAAAGAGATGTGATGGTGATCTACACATTCACATGTCATTATTCACAGACAGGCTGAAGGATGCCATAAATGGCATTTAGTTATTCCACCTTTCAATGGCCAAGGCTGAAGCAAATGCTGAAGATCAAGATCTGGCCAAACACTGATCCCAAAGTCCAGTGACAGGGCATCCCTACTACATGTGTGGGTACCTCTAATCTACGAGTAGTTGAAAGACCTAACAATTGTGACAGTGATCAGTACTACTGTGGATAAACATTTCTAAGTGATTATTTTCCATCTAGAC